ATGTTCAGTGTGTGCTGTGCTTTGCAGCTAACACTGCCCTTGGCTGGATTTGGATTTTGGTATTTAAGAGGTGGGGTGAATAGTGGGTCTGTGTCCATGAGGAGCTTGGGGATGTTTGGTAGCTGGGAGGGATGCAGTCTGGCACGGGAGGACTGAGCCTGGGTGCAGAGGGCAGGGAGATTCTTCCCAGGAGGGGGGTGGGATTTTTGCACCCTCCTTTCCTTGTGTGGAGTGAGCAGCTAAGGAAGGACAGGGCAATCTTGCCAAATTTCAGTGCTTGTAAGCAAAACCACCAAGATCTGTGTCCCTCTTCACTAAGTGTTGTTGTCTGTTTTCCATTGCAGACTGTTGGAAATTCTGGGTCTGCTAACGGGATTCACCAGCAGGATAAATCCCACAAGCAAGAGGTAAGTTTTGAGCAGAATGTTGTTTAAAACAGTATCTGCTTCATGTGGTTTCTTGCCTGCTGTGGTGGGAACAGCACTTGGCTGGGGGTAGTTGTGCCAGCACAGCTTGACTGTATCATTGCCACAGCAAAAGCAAGAGGCTTTGCACAACTGCAGTTCCCAAGTGTGGTGGGGACCTCACTAGAAACCCCTTAAAGCCATGGGGGAGGTGGTGGTGAGGGGCACTCAGAGGTGCAGTGCAAAGGGAGCTTCCCCACTGTCTCCTGGGTCAGAGCTGTGTCACACTTCTCCTGGCAGCCCCCGCTAGGACCTGCTCAGCCTCAGCTCTCTGCTGTCCCCTTTACATGGGTGGCATCTGTGGGACATGCTGTCCTGGCCTCCCACAGCAGACTTCATCTACCCATACTGGGCAAAGCAGTGGGCATTCTACTCCATGCCTCTTCCAAAAAAAGCCTCTGTGCTTGTCCTCATTTTGCCTAACAAGATCTGTTTTCTTCTAGGAGAAGCTCTGATAGAGAAGAGGTGAAAAGGATCATTTCACGCCAGTATCAGCTCCTCTGCACAGTCAGGAAAAACAACACCACATCTGGCTTTAGCACCTCCAAAAGACCACAAACAGTATTTTCACTTTAAAGCAGGACAATGTTTATAATGTACTAACTGATATAATCAGGACAATCCCAGAGTCCAGTTTTCCAAGACAGCCATTGTTCCAGGAGGGAGCAGAAAGACCTCTCTGGGTTTGGTTTCTTACTTGTATTGGTTTTGACTGTGGAATTTGTATTGTTTGAGCTGCCCTTGTCCCACCAGCTGATGTGGTTTGGATGACAGCTGCCCTGACCTGTGGCTGAAGTGTCAGTGGGTCCCAGCAACCCCACAGGAGCTGCAAAGGGATTTGCCTGTGGTGTTCAAAGCATGTGCCCCTAGGCTGCACCCTCCCACAGGGTCTGTCCCTTCCCTCCGACACACCCTGGTGTCCTGAAGACCTGCACAAGTGAGTGAAACCTGCTGGGCTGATGATGTGAGGTTTGGGGACATGTTCCCCTCCTCCCTTTTGGAAGACATCACTGTTTAGAGCAGAGGCTGCACTTAGTTCTTGTATTATAGCATGTCATGGGAAATAATCCTGTTTCAGAAGGATATTTATTTTGTTTCTTCTCCCCTGCCATTTGGGGAAGAAGCTGTGGTGACTCTGAGTTTGGGGTCAGGTATACCTTGCCTGGGTGTAGTTGGTCTTTCTGCCTGCAGTGACATCTCTGAGCAGGCTTGGTGGATCCCTGTGCCATAGCCAGCTTGGTCCCCCTTCTCCTGGGGGGTTCATGGGCTCTGTTTTGAGCTCAGCACTCCACAGGTGCTGGATCTCAGCACTGCTGGCCTTGGAGCTCCATGCTGGGGTTAGTCAGTGCAGGACAGATGCATTGAACAAACAATTGTTCAATTGAACAGCTAACTGTGGTTGCCTGGTGCTTTCCAGAGCTGCCCTTGGCTCTTCAGTGTGATGCCCATCTCCTTCTACCCGAGATGGATGAGGTGAGGGTGCTGCTGTGAGCCTGACTTTGATGGCTTCAGCAATCCTCTGTGCATGACATGAGTGTGAGTGTTTGGAGCAGAGGCAACCCAAGACCAGAGCACACAGCTCTTGTGTCCGTACCAGCAGAGGATCTTGTTCCTTCTTCCCAAGGCTTTACTCTAAGTTTGCACCACAGCTCCCAAAAGATAGTAGGGCAGAGGAAGGTGACAACATGCTCTCAAAGGTGTGAAAGAGCCCAGCTGAGGTTGACTGACTCTTCAGTAGCACAGGGAACAGTCACAGCAATATTTTTCCAGGCTTCTCCCAGTTAGTGCCCAACTCCTCCAGTCTTGTGCTGTGATGGGGCATCTATGAAAGGACAAGATGAGAGAGGAGCTTTGAGCCAGACCCCCAGCAGGTGAACATGATGGCACATCAGCTCCCTTGCTTTTTGCCCTGATTTCCCACAAAGTTGTGTCACTTTTTCTTAGTGGGTTGCCAGACTCCTGCTTCTTTGAAGGATGGGCAGCCAGAAGCAGCCTGGGAAAGACCTGAACTTCATGACTGTAATTTTGCCATGAGGAGAATGACATTGAATGCTTGACCCTTCTCACCTGATGCAGGATTGGTGATCTCCTATCCTTCAGAGGAGGATGGAAGAGGAAGGGCACTTCAGAGAAATAAAGGAGGTCAGAAATCACAGCAGAAATCTGCACGTGGTAGCAGGAGGCAGAGCATGGGATCAAACTGGCTGGAAATAATGTAGGATTCCATCTTGCCTTGTGGAAGTGTTTCTTCAGGTCTTACAAATCACCAGAAAGATTGCCACATCTCTGCTTAGCTCTGGGAGTTTCCCAAGGGATTGTAGGAGTGGTCTCCAAAACCCTCCTGCTTGAGTATTCATCTTCTAAGTGATTTTGGAAACTCCCAGAGGGAGTTTTTGTTTGTTACAGCCCTCAATAGTGAATACCTCACTGCTATTTTTAAGAATTTAGGGCTGATGTTTCCCAAAATACTCTTGTTGGCTGGATGGTCTCTGAAGTCATGTCTGCTGACTCTGTGGGCTTCCATGGCACATGCAAGAGGAAGGTCCCATTCTGGTTTGTAACTTATTTTCCCTTATGGGTCTTCTAGTGACTTGTGACCAGCTGCCTTCACCTGCTGCAGCAGAGATATCTGTGTTTTCCACCTCCTTTTGGCTCTGTACAGAGTGGGATCTCCTGGGAGTCCCTGTGGGGACCATGTATTTGGTTCTGTTGATCAGACCCAAAGTTGCCAGGCTGGATCTCTGGCTCCTGCCTCTTCCCAGAGGCCATCGAGAGCAGCTCAGACCTGTGGCTTTTCCCATTCAGCTCGGGAGACAATGCAGAACAGGAACAGAGGGGATCAAACCAGCTTCAGAGTTAGTGCTGATGGTCTTCTCTGGCTGTAAATGACTGTGCTGGGCCCTGAGGATCAGCCAGGAGCTGTTGGCACTGCTTGGCTTCTCTGTGCAGGCTCTGTGGGCACTGTGTTGCAGGGCTGAGGGTTGAAGCCCCCCACCCACTGGGGTGCAGGTCCATGGGATGGTCCCAAATAGGACCATAATGCCAACAGGATATTTGTGTGCTCATGTGGGCTTCAGCTCAGCCCTGTGTAAGGGGTCAGGGGGATTGCACTCGCTTCTTCCCTCTCCAAAATTAGCTCAGGCTTCCCCAGGGCAGCAGCCTCTGGCTGCCCTTCTGAGGTGGTAAGAGACCACACTAGGGACAAACTTGGAAAGGACAAGGGGGAGATTCCCCATCCCCTCTATTTATTTGTAAGTTTAAGTGCTATTTTTACCTATGTGGTGGTGTATAAAATACTTCACAATACTTGGTCCTACTGGCTTGGTTCTTTGGGAGAGTTCTGGGGCCCTGGAGCCCTTGTCCCATTGCTGGTCCTGGCTGGTTCCTGTTTGTGCCTTCACTCCCCCTTTGGCCTCAGTCTTGCTCTTACCTTGATCCCCGAGAGCTGGTAAGGGAGGGCTGTGCTTTCCCCAGCCTGAAAATGCCGTGCTGGTTTTCCATCTGGAGATGGGTCCTGAGCACTGGTGCAGGGAGGGGAGCAGGAGGTGACATGCAGCTGGAGCACGGGTTCGAGGGAAGGAGCAGCCCCCACAACCAGTGGCATTACCCTGACAGTTAGTGATGCTTTTCTGCTGAGAGCTGAGCCCTTATCCACCGAAAAAAAACAGCCTCTGGGATGGAGACTACTTAGTATTGAGTGATTTCTTCTTTGTTTCTCAAGACAAAAGGGGCAAAGAATCAGTCTTGCTTGGGAATGTCAGCTTTATCCCTCCTGCAGCATCCAGAGAGCTGCAGCAAGGGCAGCACCATGGAATGATGGTACCAAGCTGCCTGGGTGTTGCAGCTCTTGGAATGACAGGTGCCAAGCTGCCAACTAAGGCCTTACAGCTCCTGCCTCCCCCCAGCCACCAGCAGCTCCTCTGACTTGCAGTAGAGATGCATAAGGGTTTCATTAAACAAAATGATGCAAATGGCACTGTAAAAGTCTTAATGAAAATTCCAATACTCCGTTATTCAGCAGCTTTAGCAGCTCAGCACTATCTGTAGGGAGTTATTAATACACTAAGATCCTATAGGCTTCCTGTAAGTTACCAGAAAAAAGATGATACTAGATGTATAAATGGATGATAACCTTTTACCCATACAGTATGTATTACAATTTTGTAGCTTAGTCATTTTTTGGCTATCAGATTTTATTAGTATGAGACAAAAAAAAGACAAAAAAATGTTTGACTGCTAATGTCTATTTTGTTATTTGATTCATTTTCTTCCTCTGTACAAAAGCTGTACAAATCTGTCTGTGTAACTCCTCCACATCTGTATTCATGTACCATCCCCCTTGACCTGGCTTGCTGGTGTGGTGAGCTCCTACTAAATAATAAACTCTGTGGCTGAAGTTGGGCATCCTGGGGTGTGTTCAGGGTGTTCTGCTGTGCACAAAGTGTCATGAGCTGGAAGGGGTTGGGGCCACGGGGCTGTGGCCCTTTTTCACCCTGTCCTGCCCCCAGGTGACCTTGAGCCACCTGTGTTTGGGCTCTGCAAGTGCCTGGGAAGCTGCAGAGCTGTCCTGGGGATGAGCTGAGCTGGAGCACAGTGGCATTTGCCCTTGTGCACCCCATGCCAGAGGTGGGGAGAGCCAAGCCCAGCACCATCTCCTGCCTGGGCAGCTCCTGCCATCGAGTATCTCCCGAGCCTCAGAGTGGTTGTGCTATTTATTAATCCACGATTCTTTTCTGTCTAATTGTCTCCCCAGTCCCTCACTGACATATCCACAGTGCCCTGAGGTGAGGAGTGCTGCAGGGTGCTGTGCCAGACCCACCTCCCTGCACCTCAGCACTGATCCATACTTGTCTGAGCAGTGCCACCTTCATTTTGCATGGACTGTGATTGGGTCATCCTCCTTCCTTCCAGGTCATCTACCACAGAGCTTCAGAGTACATGGAAATGGGGGTGGCAGTGAATCAGCCCAGGAGGAGCTGCCACCCCCAGCCCCTGCCTCTCTTGTCCCTGTGTTGCCACCATGTCCCTGTGGATGCTCTGAGCATCACGGAGTTACGCTGTCGCCCATGAGGCAGGACTGGACAGATTTATGCCAGGGCTCAGTGTTTTTTTCATGGTACGACCTCTCAGTTGGAAATTTCCTTGACTGCCTGTGGCCTGTGCCCTGGCTCAGCACTGCCCATAGAGCAGGGGAAGATCCATCTCCTACTGCCATGTTTCCCTGCATCCAGGGGCTGCAGCTCCTTCATACAGATGTATTGCCAACTGCTTAAGGTACAGGGAAAACTGGAATGATTTTCCCTTTGACTCCTGGCTCTTGCTTTTCCTGGATTTAAAATTCTTCTCTACCAAGATTACCTGAAAGTTTTAAATTCTTTTCAAGAGCAGCTGAGGTTTGTAGGTGCTGGTTTTATTCCAGAGAAAATTACAGGTGCCTGATGACAACACCATGAAAACTGTCCATGCAGCCTTATCCCAGAGCTGTAACAGAGGCTGTGCAGATACCCCTGACATCCCCTGATTTATTTTTTTCAATGTAGGTAAGGCACTCTTGTTTCTCCAGCAGCTCCCTGACCCTGCAGTGCAGGGTCTCAGGAGTGAAAGGGTTAAAAGCACTGTGCCTAGACATATTTGGGCAAGAATAAGATATCCTGGAACCACTATAGGAGCTACCAAATTTTAGCCACAAGCTAGACACCCAGGATGTAACTTGGCAAGAAATAGGGAATAGAACTTGCAAAAATGAAGAACAAAGCTTGCTGAAACCAGTGAGAAAATTGCTGAAACAGCCAACAAGAGCCTGCACATGCCTAGAGGAGAAAGGTGAAAAGGGCACGGCGATGAAGACATCGAGCCTTCATCAGAAAGGACAGTTGAGGAAGACATGGGGCCTTCCTCAGTGCCACCACCATGGTGTGCCGTGCCTGTGCTCCAGCTGTGCTGAGGATAATGACAGTCCTCTTGAGCAGAGCTCGGAGGGTTCCACGGCTCCAGGCCACCACACCACGAGGTCACAATGCTCTGGGTGGGTGCCCAGAGCTCGTGGCAGCGTGGTGTGGCAGCTTGTGGCAGCACCGTGGCTTTGTCCTGCCTGCCCTGGGCAGCACAGCGAGGCAGAGGTGCCCCAGCCAGGTCAGGGCTGGGACTGCAGAGCCATGTCGGTTGTCCACTACAAGTTCTCCTCCAAGCTGAGCTACGACGTGGTCACATTTCATGGCCACAGCATCTCCGTGGGTGACCTCAAGCGCCAGATCATGGCCCGTGAGAGGCTGAAGGCGGCCAACTCCGACCTGCGGATCTTCAAAGCTGAGACCAGTGAAGGTGAGTGGGGCTCAGGGCCCAGGGCCACCCAGGGGCAGTGGTGCAGATCAGCCACAGGCTGGGGGAGCCTGCTCTGCCCTGGGGACAAAAGCCAGGGTGGAAAAACACAGTAGTGCATACAAAGCTGGCTTTTACAGCTCTCAAGGGATTCTGTGATGTGCCATGTCATTCCGTGTCCATATCCATTCTTCCCAACTGACTCATACTTTCTCTGTATTTGTGCTGTTCTCAGAATACTCCGATGATGCACAGATCCCAAAGAACGTCTCTGTGATCGTGAAGAGAGTTCCAGCTCGAGCTGTGTGAGTATCCATAAAGCACTGCATTCCCTGTCAGGGATGTCAGGGTGTGGACTTCTTTTCTGGATATGGGTTTGCAGAGGCACTCGGACTGCATCTGGTCAAAGCTGCTGTTAATTTCCTTTTTCATGGGGTAGATTTTAATGTACCTGCTCCAAAGCAGACTCACACTGTTAGGTTTTTGGGGACAGGGGGTTCAAACTCCAACACTGGTAAATCTTAAGGTGGTTCTCTTGGTTTTGTTCTTGGGATGATTGGGCTGAGAGCCAAGTCACAGATGCTGTTTCCTCCACATGAGGAGATTCCAGATTGTATGTGTTTGCTTTTATTGGCTTTATAGTAATGACAGGTACACACTGTAACAATTACATATTATTAGAAATAAACTTTTAATGTGTTCCCATCTGAGAAGAATCTGGTTGTCAGTATTTGACTATTTCTTGCACTGGGGAAAGTAGGTTTGGGGACTGTGGGGTATCTGGCAGGTATCTTACACCCTAAATTTGGGGCTTTTACACCCTGTCTGTAGAAGAGAGACCAAGAATTGTGGACTCCTCAGTGTTGTGCTTCTAAACACGGCTTTGGTTTGGGGTTAATGCAAATAGAGATGCTTCATGCTGCCCTGTCACAGCATCCTCCCTTCCGGGCTGGATGGCCCTCCCCTGGTGTTGTGGTGATACCCTGCAGTGAGAGGATGGGGCTGGCAGTACCCAGATCCCATCAGTTCTGTGTGTGACAATGGCTGGGCAGCTGCAGCCATGGCAGGGACCCAGGCAGACGGGCTTTGTGTCCCTCCAGCAGAAATATCTGCCAGAGCGGCTGATGTGTGGGAGGGATGAGGATCTGCTGGCACAGGGGTTGTGTGTCTGATTCCTGAGCACCTGAGTCAGACACAGATCACTGATTATGTGGACTCTCAGCGAGTTTGCAAATGTAATAAATAGCTCCCAAAATATTGTTGCATTTTCTAGATCACCTAAAATGAAATTCTGCCAATTAAGACTCTTTTTTTTTTCCCCCACAGAGCTCCTAAATTGCACCAACCCATAGGAAAGGCTTCCAGGTGACCTTTCTAGCAGTATTTGTAGTCACTGTAGCATCTGTAACACACTGGGCACTTGGGCCCTGGCGTGGGTTAAGGATGGCAGAGATCTGAGCACAGGGCTTGGGCACAGAGAAACACCACTCTGGAGACAGAGCTGCTGGCACTTCTGGTATTGCTTTGGCAGAGGAGGGATTATTTTTCACTGAAAGAAACCTGCACTCCTGAGCACTGGCACTGTCACTGTTCTAGCTAACTACACTCCTGTGTAACTGGTGACACCGTAGAAATGAGATTTTGGGGCCTTGTTTTAGTTGCATTGAAGGTACCAAGAGAGAGGAGTTTATGAAGACAAATAAATTTTCACATTCACTCAACTATCAGAACATAATGGTTTGAGGTTCAGGTATTCTTGTTGGTTTTCACTGCTTGATGCTGGGTCCAAGCGCTTCATTTTAAGTTCTGATCAAGTCTGTTTCTTCTGCCAGGAACCAAAATGAGCCAGTGAGGGAAACATCCAAGGCAGTACGTAAAACCCCAGCCTCACACTTCTTCCTACACACTGCACTTCATTCTAAACAGTGCAGCCTTGTATTAATTTTCTGGACATTGAACTTGAATATGGTTTAATTCTTTTGTGAACAGATTTCTGACTCTTCTGCCCCTCTTGCTCTGGCCCAGCTCATTAAGGTATAGAGATATTCTTTGTCAAATACTTGAAAAAAATATTTTTCTTAGTCTTTTAAAATCTTACACTGTGATCTATAGCTGGATAATTGTGGTAATGTGATCAAAACTGTAATTTTAATAATTTAAAGTGTTTATTGTAAGTTTAAAATGCATGTATGTTGTGATGCTATCCCAGAAAGAGAAGTTCCCAGGTTAGGAAGAGGGAACTGGGAGCACCTTATCAGCCCCAACATAATGTTGCAGCATTGCTCCTTTTCAAGACCCAAAGCAGCAGCACTTCAGCACCTGTTTCCCATTTTGTATCATCACCTTTTCACTGGAAACTAACAGTTTGTGTTGTACGAATGTGTACAGAAGAACTGAACTGGCTGTAAGTTATGGACATTTCATGGAGATCTGCAGAAAACCAAAACACACACTTCTGGAACAAGAACACTTGTGAGGCTTGAATTTTGAATTTTTGGCCATGACAGCTATAGATCTATTCTTTGGTTGCTGCACTTGCTCACAAATTGGGGTCTGGGTACACAATCTCCTTTGTTTGACTGCAGACAGTGTAAATGATTTTGGTATCATTATTACTTTGTAAAAAGTGCTATATTTAAATCTGGGTCTATTCCTAGACATGTTTTGGTGGGGCTTGGTTGTGTTTTGTAAACCATTTGGGTTCAAGCACACTGGTGAAGTGTCTGTAGATCTCTCTCTCTAAATGTTGGAAATTATTCCAGAGAGGTGGATATGGATATTTTTCCTGTACAGAAAAACACTGTGTCAATGAAACACCCATTTATTAAATCTCTGAGTTGGTTGCTTTTGTGAAGGAGTATCTGTGAAAGCAAAACCTCAGGAGGTTGATCTCTCCTGGGCTGCATGGAGGCTGTTGTCTTTGGCTGTGGAGGCTCAAATGTGTTCTTCATGTGTATGTCAACCCTCCCATGTCCCACAGACCCCAAATCTGGCTGAGGCCAATGCTTCAGAGGAGGACAAGATCAAAGCCATGATGGTCCAGTCCTGCCGTTACTATGAGCCCCTCAAGTAAGTGTTGGTAAGGTCAAATCTGGTCTGGAAGAACATGGAAAAATCCCGTTTATCTCTGACGAGGGACCTGTTCTGACAAGGGATACACATTCCTACCTTCCTCTTTTTTTACCCCCCAAAACTTGCAGTGACCTGAAGACACCCTTGGGTCCTGTTCCATCATCACCTACCAGCCCTGTTCCCAGGCTTAAAAGGAGCTCAGGAATTCCCAAGAGTTTTATGGTGGAGGTGAAGGACCCCAACACAAAGGGAGCAATGCTTACTCCCAGTGGGAAATATGCCATCCCAATTATTAATTTGTAAGTATGGATTTAATTGCACTGACCAAAAGTGACTGAGAAAAGCCATGGGGAAACGTCTGAGTGGCAAAGCCACCACATTGGCCACCACCTGTCCTTTGGGGCAGGGAGTGTCGCCACTGTAGCTGATCCATCCCAGGGTCATCTAAAAATCCCAGATTCCGTCAGCAAGGAAATAACAGCCACAGGACAAGAACAGCACAAATCCATTGTCCTGAGGCAGCAGTGCAGGGAGTCCGACATCCACCCATAGCTCTGGAAGTTCACTGGGCACAGGAGAGCGGAGAGAGATGGACCCTCCTGGATGGTTTATGCTCTCACACGGTAGCTGCTCTTCTGCCTTGGCAGCAGGAGCTTTTCCATGGTACCAAGTTCTTCCATGGGCAGCAGCATTATGGCAGCAGCTGAGAGATGCTTTCACATGAGCATATGGAGAGAAAAAAACCACCCAAACCAAATTTTGGAGGAAAAGAAGTGGGAGAGGGACTGTTTTGAATTAACTTCATCATGTCCTTCTTTCACCCATACAGAAGACAACATCCACAGCCAGAGTCTTCAGCTGGAATGGAGCCTCCAGTGAAAAAAGTGAAGAAGGCAGAGAAGCCAGTTTAATTCATTCTTCAGTCATGTTCTATATAAATGTTCTCAATTATTTGTTATTTTCTTGTTCTACCATCCTGTTCTTTATTCATGGTTCTTATTTCATGTTCACAATTGACTGTTCACTTATTGTTGTCAGTTCTTCACTGTTCTTATTTCATCTTCCGACAATAAACAGCACAGCATTGAAAGGAACTTACTTTGCTATACCTTTCCCTAGATGTGCTGCTTATTACAAGCCTTGCCATGTCACTGGAAATTAACTTCATCGGTCACTACTGCAGACAGCTGCCTTTGACACTGATTTTCCTTCTCTTACTGTATGCAATAAAAAGCTCAAGAAATTAGGGATAAGAAAAAATCTTGAAAAGTGAAAAAAACAAACCAAAGCAATAGTGATTAAAGACATTAAAGCTAAGAAGATGTGCCACAGAGAAGTTGCAGGAGTCTCCCATATTCACAAGTCTGACAAAGAAAGAGAAGAAGGTGGCTGACAAGGTCAGGATGCAGGAAATAAATTCCCTTTCCATGTTGTCAGGTTTCCCAATGCTTGAAAGCAGATTTGAGAGTCCTCTATGGTTTATTTCCTGCTGGCTTATGAGTCAGCTCTGTACCTCTTCACCCAAATATTGCTGCCATAGAGCTTGGAAGCAGGAAGGACTAGGGGTGAACAGAGCACGTTTTGGAAAAGGGGCAGATGTGGATGGCAGGTGTTGAAGGGAATAACTTGGTTTGTCTTCCCCCACAGTCTTGGGGGCAATGGCAGGAGAAATTATTTCATTGTCTTCTTTATGGACTGTCAAGCTGACATAAAACCTGACTTGGAGGGAATTGTACAAAGGCTTCACCCAGGGAGACTCGTTGCCCTGAACTCCAGAGGAGAAAGGAGTCTATGCCCCAACAACCCTATAGCTCAGCGAGGGGCTCACGGGGTTCCTCCTGCACCTCCGGCATGAGGAACAGCACCCCACTGCTTCCCCTGCAAAGGCTGATCCCAGGGGATGCTCCCAACCAGGCCCTGGGTTTGCAGCAGTGCAGGAACTGGCTTAGATGAAACGCAACTCTTAAACTGACCAAAAGAAATGCAATGAGGCTGTTCTCTCCTGGGAGACCTTTGATCACTTTTCAGCAGATAAAAGGACTACAAAACGGCTGCAGGGGGACTTGGCACAAGGGCCTGGCATGGGAATGACTTCACACTGAGAGAGGGAGAGTTATGTGGGATATTGGGAAGAAACTCTTCCCTGTCAGCATGGTGATGCCTTGACAGAGACTGCCCTGTTCCTGGAAGTGTCCAAGACCAGGTTAGATGGAGCTGGCAGCAACCTGGTCTAGTGGAAAAAGTTCCTTTATCTGTCCCTGACAGTGGGTGAAATGAGAGGATCTTTGAGGTCCCTTCCAGCCCAAGCCATTCCGTGACTCTATGACTTCATGTGTCTGTTACCCAGGGGTGAGGTCCCAGGGGTGAGGTGTGCTGCCTGGCAACGGGAATTGTGATGAAAAGGGGTTTGAGCAGAGCAGGCTCCAGTCCTCTGAAGGACACGGAAGGAGGAAGGAGCCTGTTGGCTTCTCACGTTTTTATTATTGCTTTTGCTGACCCCTGACAGACCCAGCTGGGCAGGAAGGCTTGTGACCAAGCAGGGACTGACTGTGTGCAGACATGGCAGCATCCCTGGACACACTCAGCCTCTCCCAGATGCTGGATCTCGCCATCGGGACGCCCCAGAAGGGGATCATGCACTTTGCAGCCATGAGAAAACTGCTGCAGGCCGTGCTGGAGCACCTGGACGTGCAGTACCTGACCAGCCAGGAGCCGTGGCCGGGCCAGCTCAGTGGCCCCTCTCTTGCTGATGTGGCCACTGACATGGAAAAGATGAAGAAAGAGATGGGAGACTACAAGAAACACATGTCCGAGGTAGAGGCTCTTCCCAGCCCCCGGGGCACTCCCCCAGCAGACAGCCCCTCCCCGCCTCCTCAGACAGCACTGCTTGGCACTGCCCTCACTGCCCCGGCACAGCCCCTGGCAGGGGCTCTTTGCCACCTGGATGGGCCTCAGTGCTCTGGCACCGAGCCGGGCTGGGGCAGGTGGCACTGGGACTCTCCCTGCCCACCTGGATTGCCACGGGCTGCCCGTGGCAGGGTGGGGCTCTTTGGGGTGTTGCTGCCCTGGCCATCACCTCTGACATCCCTGTTGGTTGGACTGTTCCACAGGTTCTTCGTGAGGAGTTTGGTGGGATAAAGGCAGAACTTTCCCACCTCTCCGAGGACATGAAGAAGTTCCAGGAGAGACAGGTCTGTGCAGACCACTGTGGTAGTGAAGGTTGTTTTCCTCACACACTCCACAACTTGCATCTCTCACCATTTTCTCCTACAGTCCTCCATGGCTGCGGACATGAAAAAGATCCAGAAGATGCAGGACAAGGTGAAGTGCTGCTGGGAGCAAGTTTTGGGTCTGAGAGAGCAGCCTGGACCCTCGGCCCTGCTGGCTGGAGGCTCAGTACCCTTGGCCCTGCCAGATGCATGGACCGTGCTGCCTGCAGAGCCCTGCCAGCCTGGCTGAGCCCGGCCCTGCGCTGTCCCCAGGGCTCCACAAAGCACAGCAGGGGTCAGGGCCTTGCAGGTCCCCACTGACCCTCCCACAGGCTCACTGCCACCACTCCTCTCTCCTAGAACATGACTCTCATCCGGGATCTCCAAGAGGAGATGGACAGGATAAAGACAACACAGAACCGCATGGAAGGAGACGTAAAGAAGGTTAAGGAGTCGCTTCCCATAATAAGCTGTTGGATCGTGTAATCTTTAGGCTCTCATGGGGAACATCAATGTGATTCCAAGAGCAGGGTTTGAGATCAGGGTCTCAGGACCAGGTGGAGCAGCCTGGGTCTGCCCATGTAGCTGAAGGGCCCCCACGCTGGGACCACAGGATGTCCGTGCCCTGACTCTACCATCACTGGCTTTCCAGATGAAGAAGCTGGAGGAGGACCTTAAAAAGCTGAGGGAGGATGCAGCCAAGTGGAAAGAAGAGAGCAGCAATGAGATCTCTCAGCAAATTGAGTAAGAGGACAGGAGTGGGTTTCATACCCTGTGGGGCTGCAAGGGAGCCCAGGGGGTCTGGCAGCATCCTGGTCTGCAGGCACAGCACAGTGCCATGCAGCCCTGCAGGGGAAACCCTGACCTTGTCCCCATCCTGCTGGCCAGGGCTTTGCGTCAGGACACAAAACGTGAGCTGCAGAAGATGGGAGAGCAGCAGGAGATGCGATATACCCCGCAGGAGCAGCTGGTGACTGAGACAGCCAACCAAGTGAACGAGCAGGTGAGGTCCTGGGGGAGCACTCCCACCACCCCTGGCTTGGTGCCCGAGTCCTGCAGGGGTTCCTGGCCATATTCTCTGACTGGCTGGGGCCACCTTGCACTGTTGATTCCATTCATCCCACCTCTGAGCCAATTTCTTCTGCCTCTCCCGCAGTTTGGCAATACAGGAGAGGCAATTCTGAGCCTACTGGAGGAGCTGGAGGATGGGAATGGAGACTGCTCCAGTTGCACCCTCAAAATCAGGGCATATTTGGGGAAGCTCCTCCTGCGCTACGAGAAACTCCAGGAGAAGGTGGAATCCCTGGAGTCCCGGCAGATGCCCAGGGGAAAGCTCAAGAAAATGATGAAGAATTGGGGACAGGTAGGCTGTGGGCAGTATGGGGGACTGAGGACATCCCCCAGCTGGATGTGCTGTAGTCTGGGGGAGGCCAAACTGCCCAAATTGGCCTGGACCGGTCAGCAACATGAACACAGATTAAAGCCTTGATGTAAATGTCCTGTTGATTCTGAGAGCTCATGGCCACAGGCTGAGAAATGCTGGTCTGCCCTGTGGAGCAGCCAGACACCCTTTTGTTCAGTGCCATGCTTTTCCTTCCCTGAAGCTGGAGAATGACCATGAGCGGCTGCACTACATGGAGGAAACACTTGTACAGATGAAAGAAGACTGTGAGAAGCTCAGCTTTGTTTCTGGGAGCCTGCAGAAAGACGCTGAACAAAAGCAGAAAGCAATCAAGGTGTGTGGCTGAAACTCCTGTGGTGCCAGAGCATGCCCCAAGCCCTCGTGATTCCAGGCAGGGAACACAAGAATGTCTCTGGCTGAGACTTTCAGCACTGTGCTGGTTCCAAGTGCCTCTCCTCAAGGTTTTTGGGCAAGGGGAGTGGGTTGTGTTCTCCTGGCCAGGAGGCAGCTCCAGCCTTGCTGTGGTGTCATGGGTTCCTTTTTGTACTGAAAGATGCTGTTCCAGTCTCTGGAGAAGGTGCAGAAAGAGAAAACAGATGAGCAGGACGTGATGGCAGCAATGGACATGGTACAGTCTCAATGGGCCTCTCTGCCAGCCCAAGGGTTTCCAGGCAGGGTGCCAAATGCCCCTTGTCCCTTGGGGGCTGGGTGGCAGAACTGGCCTGGGGAGGGAGAATTTCCCGAGCATGTTGGGGTTCCCTCACCCTCCCGATGGTGGGACCAAACCCACCAGGGTGATGGGGCACATGGGGCCACAGCACCCTGAAAGGGGCACGATGGCCTGGAGGAAGCACTTCTCCCTCTGCCCCTCACACGCGCTGGCCCTGCCTGTCGTTCCTCATCCCTTTCCCCACCGCTCTCCTGCCGTTCCCCTCTGCTAGAAGGCGGACAAAGCTGCCCTGGGCAGCAAAGTCAACTGCAGCCAATTTGAAGCTCATATGGAGCGTCTGGATAAGAGGATGCAGGAATTGCAGAGCCAGATTTCGGGCCAGGAGGAGCACTGGAACAATATGCAGCAGCAGCTCAGCAGTGTGGTGGAAGAAAAGGTGAGGAGTACCTTGTCCCCAAAATGGCAAACTGGCACCTTTGGGACTGGACAGCCTGAGGCAGCATCCCTCTGAGGATCCCCCTCCAGGCTTTTCCCTGGAGAGCTCCATGTCACATCCCGGGGCAGCTGGCTGAGGCTGTGCACCTGTTCACAGCTGGATCGCCTGGAGCTGAAGGCTTTCAGCTCCCAGATGGAGGAGACGTGGAACAGGAACATGGAGGAACTTGAGAACAGGCTGTTGTGTGACAGTGCTGCTGGGATTAAGAAGTGAGTGTGATGCAGATTCTGAAGGCTTTGGGGACAGCAATGGTCCCATTCCCTCCAGCTGTCCCACAACGCTCCCCGTGTGCTCCCCTGCCTTGGGACCAATTCAGCTGCTCAATGAACCATGGGGATGCTGATGAAGCAGCTGCACCTTCTACTTCCACCAGCAGCAGGTTCCACACAGGAAAGGAGGCACGAGGACAGGGCACCTGCAGGACAGTGCCCTCCCAAAGCAAAATGGGGCTGTGGGTGCAGAGGCTCCCAGAAGCCAGGGTGGGAGATGGGAACTGCTCCTCCCAGGCAGGGCTGTGGGACGCAGGGTCCCAGAGCTGGGTCATGCCCTGCCCTCCTGGCCGTGCACACAGGGGACTTTGGTGCCAGAGAGGGGCAGAAAGCGCTGCAGGGGCTGCTTGGGATGGTGACATGGGTGACTGTGCCCTTCAGCTGGCATCATCCAGCACGCTGGGGATGGGGAGAAACAGGCTCAAGAGCCCACGGTTCAGCCTGCAAACGCCGTGACCCTGTGCAGTGACCTGCCCGGCACCCGGCTGCTGCCAGCCGCTGCTGCCTGTGTGCGGGCAGGGCTGTGGCCCCAGGAGCTCCCCCAGCCCTCTTCTCTCACCCTCCTTAGGCAGCTGCCAGTCCCTTTCTCGTGCCTGTCCTGTGACCGCATGCTCACCGTGCAGGTCCCTGGCCAGTGAGTAGCACCAGTGCATCGGGGGCAGCGGGGCTGGCATGGGGGGAGATGGGTGCCAGCAGTGACCGCTGTGCTGGGCACAGGGTGACAGGGTCTGCTTGGGAGGCCCTGATGTGGGGAGCCCCTCTGCAGCCCTGCCGGCAGCAGGGGTGTGGGCACTCATCCCAAGGGCTACAGGCAGCGGGGTACCATGGGGTACAATCCTCTGGGTTTGGGGGTGCTGCCTCCAACAGGAACAGCTTGTTTGTCCCCTGTCACACCCCTGTGACTCCTGCCCTCCCCAGGTACCCCGAGACACTCCCGTATTTGCCGCCGCTGCCCCCCAGCAAGGAGCCACCGCCCAGCCAAAGGTAAGGGCCCTGAGGACACATGCCCAGCTCCCGGGGTGCAGGCACGCTCTGACACAGCAAGGAGGGCTTTTCCCGGTGTGGCACAGGCTTTTCCTTCCTGCCTGGGGCTCCTGCAGCAGGTGGACAGGAGCTGGGAGGGACATGCCCCTGCAGGCAGCACTGCCAGTCCCCTCCCTGGCACAGCAGGGTGAAGCCCAGGATGCCACAGGGCTGGGCTCTGAGTGTCCTCTGACCCATCCCACAGGAGGCCGGTGGCCCATGGCAGTGTCCCCCGTGTGCCACAGCGCTCTGGGGACCGTCAGAGCAGCAGTTTCAAACTGCCCCCCATTCAGCATTCTCTTCGGAACAAGGCATTTCCGCAGGGACCCGTCACCCTTCCCAACAAGGTAGGGATGAAGAAGGTGGGGACATGGCATGTGTAATGCGGACTGGCAGCGTGATGCTGAGGATCCAGGGTGAATTTGTGCCTTCAGTTTCCTCGGGCAGAGCTGCTTTGGGAGGGCTGCTAGGGAATGCTGAATTGGGCCCTGCATTTCAGCCAATTGCTCTCTCCTTCCCAGCCCAGAGTGAGCCAGCTGCTGGGCAGGGGTGGACACATCCCGAGGGGCTGCAATGACCAGCTTCCTGTGCTGACCAGGACACTGGATGAGCCAGGTGTGGCCCTGTCAGGGCACGGGGATCAGGGGAGCAGAGACTGGTTGTCTGCTGGGTCTGCGCCTGGTCCCTGGGGGTTTCTGGCCAAGCAGGTGACCCTCCTGCTGCCCTGTCCTGGGCTGGCTGAGCTGAGCCAGACGGGGCAGCCCCGGGGACTGGGGGCTCACCCTTGCCTCTCACCCCCAGGCCCTGCCACCTCCCGGGACCACCGGCCAGGCACTGCCCCCCGACACGTCTCCAGGGCACCAGGGCTCCTCCTGCCAGCCCAGCCCCGTCACACTTCCACAGCCCTCAAGTAGCCGGGCAGGACTGGGAACCCAGTGCTCCACCAGGGACGTTTTCTCAGCAGACAGAGAAGTCTGCCACAATTGTTTTCTGTTAAATCATTTTTCGTTTCATTAATAAAAGTCTTCTGAAAGACAAGCAGAGCCTTTTCCCACTGTCACTGAATACATGGGGATAAATACAACTATCTTACACTATTTTTACTGTTAGGAATCAAGCATCACTTCATTCCCAGCACTGGGATGCCTGGGAATAGCTCCACTCAGCATGCACACCCACTCTCTAAACTTTTCACTATGTATTTTTATCAAAGGAATTAATGCTCATTGCCTATAAATTTCATATTTCTCTTCATTAAATAATATTCTATCTTCCATTTGGTTTTGATTTCTCAATTCTCATGCTGTTGCCAGCTAAAGAAGTGTTAGCTCCTGGTGGGCTCATACGATGCTCATTTTACCAAAGTCTGTGGAACCACACCATCAATAGCAGGATAAACATTTACCAAGGAAGGGAGTAAAACTACAGTCCACTGATCTAAGGTTTCATAATTTAAAAAACAGGACAGCTAGATCAACTTTTCTCCTCATTTGCAGAGAAGCACCAGTTCACCAGGTAACTTAAACTGTCCACTTGTTTGGAAAAATACCTTATGGCCCTTTTCCATGTCCCCAGCCTCTGAGCTAACATCCGTAGTGCAACATGTCAGTGTTTGTGACCAAACAGCTCCAGAGGCTTGGTCACGTCAGGTAATGCCTGTGCAGGGCTGACATTAGAGCTCTCTTGAGGTCTCTGAAAGCCTCTGGCAATCTGGGGTCCACTGTAGCAGCTCCTTGCTGTAGCACCTCCTTGGGGGTTTCTCAGGGCCACATATCAAGCTCTTACCACAGGCCAGAATTAAGAACCCAGAGCCCACACCAACCACCCATTCCTAGAAATGTTCTTAACCTGCAAAAAGACCTTGTCTCTGGGGTTTGGCAAATTGCCTCCATCCTTTTGGTTCCAAGGCTTTGCTGCCCCTGGGAAATGGTGAACCTCAGATACAGAACATGCTCTTTAGCACTTGGGGCCTTCTTCTTGGACACCCTGTAACTGGCTTGTCCCAAAAACTTCAGGAAACTGAGAATTATTTCAATGCATCTAGCTTGAGTTCCTGTAGCAGTTAAAAGATCACCCACATACTGTAGCAAAGTGGTCCCTTCATTCTCCTTTTCCCATCCTGAAGGGACTGCCGGAGCTTGGCTGGCTCTTACAACTCCGCTGCCTGGCCAGGAGTGGGGAACTGCCTCGGGATGGGATTTACCTGAGGCTGAACCTTTAGAGGCACTTGCTCTAAGGTGCCAGACACAAGCCACCACAGGGACCACGAGAGGAGAAAGGAGGAGGCTCTCTGCCTTGAGGTTCCACAAGGAACACTTCACTCCAGGTGAAGGGAGCTCAAACAAAGAGCCCCAGGCACTCCTGTGCAGGGGTTTAGTAAAGATACAAGTCAGGGGTGGATGCAAACAGCCAACCAAGAGGGAATCCTCAGGGGAGGAGTGAGGGGATCACATCCAGTGTCTGGGGCCACTTGGGGCAGGGGGGTGGGGAGGATGGGGCACACGCGCCAGCGGGGCTTCCAGGGATAGGAGAATTCCAAAGGGTGCTGCAGACAGGGATTGGCCCAAGGTCAGAGTGGCACAGAAGGTTCGGGAATCAAGGCGTGGATTGCCTTGACAGGCAGGGAAAGAGCTGGACCAAGGGTGGGGAATGGCATGAGGGACAGCTTTGAAGGGGGGTAAAGCCCAGGGCTAAACAAACTCGGGGAGAAAATGGGGGTGCAACAGGACGAACCACTTAACAAGGAATCAATAAAATAAATCCAACCGCAACACTATACCTCCAATTCTTTTGCCACTTGGTTCTTGTCTTGGGGTGGCAGTATGATACTGTGCCCCTGTTGTCTGCTTAATGCCCAGACAGGGGTCCTGTAACTTTAAGCTAGGTCTGAGAGAGGGGTGGAAAGCTGCTGGAATTCTTTTGGTGTGGTTTTCACACATCCTCCCCCAGGCTCGCTCAGCTGTGTTGTGCAGCATGGACAGAGGGAGTACATCTTTGCTTTTAGCTGGCTTCTTCGTCCTCTGTTTGACAATGCCAGAAGGTTTTCCAGGCCTGTGGCTTTTCCTCCTGGAACTGTTGGGCTTTTCCCCGGCCCGAACATCGCCGGGAGCCCTGCGCCCCAGCCCGGAGGGGAGGCCCTGGGATGGGCGTCCTGGCTCCAGACTCGGGAGGAGCTGAGCCACTCCTACAGAAAGAACTGTGAATCCACAGCTTTCTCCACAGCGAGAAGGTTTGACTATCTGACATTATTCATTCTGTTTCCTGCGCCTGCCTGCACCCTGTGTTGTCACTGTGCCTCCCCAAGTCTCAGCTCGCACCAGTGCATTCCCCAGAGATGGAACCCGGGCTGCCGCGTGGCAGGCGGGAATTCTACTGCTGAGCCACCAGGGCTGTTTTTGGCTTCCCAAGTCTTGGCCAGCTCAGTGCCTTCAGCACTGCGGCAGCAAAGGCCACTCTCGTGTGCCGCTGGGGGCACGAGGAATGGCCCGTGGGAAACGAAGCCACCAGACTGGAGGAGACGCAGAGCGACGCTGACAAAAGCACGGAGCCGTCCTTCTGGGGGTATCAGAGTTCCGAGTTTATTGCCTCAAAGAAAGATAAGCTCCAAAAGGCGATGAGCACCGTGTGCCCTGCTTGTTAAAGGGGGGTGGTAACAGGGAGAGGAAACAGCAGCCAACGAATGGGATAAAAACTGGGGGTGGTAACAGGGGTGACACACAGGGGAAACTTCCAATGAGGTAGCAGGGAGGGAGGGGACCCCGGAGAGCAGCTTATCACTCGAGGCCCTGGATGGAACTTTCTAGGTGGAAGGGAGAGGTCTCTGAGAGACAGACAGGCTCCGGGGTGGGGTTGGGGGGGATAACTCAGCAGGAATACAGTGAACTGGGTGGAGGGAGGAATGACGGGCAGACGGAGGGGGGAGGAGAAGGGAGGCTGGAGCATTTTACAAAAAGAGGGGGAGAGGGAGCAACCAGAACTGGGGGAAACCTAAAACACACCCCAACACTGTGTGTTAATAAAACAGCTTTTTTCACTTTCCTCAAAAACATTCCTTGCTGTGGGAGGGACTGCTGTAACCTGTCTCCTCTGAACTTGTCTCAAATTGAGACAGTTCTCAAACAATGTGGGATGATTTTTGAACCCTGGAGGAAAATAGGTCCACTTCAGTTGGGTTTCATGGCCCATCAAGGAACTTTCCATTGAATGGCAAACAAGAGTTGACTTTCGGTTTCAAGGGCAATGCAGAAAAAAAGCATCTTTAACATCCACAACAGAGGACTCTTCAGGACTCATCAGATTACTTAATTTGGCTTAAAAGTGTATAAGGGCTTGCTACCACTGGGTCTAAGTCTCACACTATTTCACTGACAGCTCTGACATCTTGTACCAGCCTGTGTTCATTAGTATGTAGCTCCTTTACCAGCAGGAGATGAGTCCTATATTGTGGCTCACATGCCCTCAGTGATCCATCTTGTAAAACTTAGCAATTCATTCATCTAACCCTCCTCTACCTTCTAAGTTCAAAGAATAATTTTTTCTGCCCAACCAGTTTTTTCCATCAGGCTCAAATGGAATTCTTACTGGTTCCACTGCTTTGATTTCCCTGGAATTCCATTGGTCCGCATCAACACAGTGACAGTGTTTTCCACCTCCTCTGGCATTCTCTCTACTGCATTTAGTTGCATTTTAACAACAAGAAGAAAACCTGAGCCTCCAGAGCTTGAATTTCAGAAAAACATAATTGTATTTGTCAATTTTCAACTATTGTTTGTGAATTTAATTGACTCAAAATATCTCTTCCTAACAAAGGCATTGGGCATTCAGGCATATACTGAAACTGATTCATTAACCACTCCCTACCTGTCTTGAATTTTAAGGGTTGCAAAAATGGCATATTTTAGCTCTTCCTGGGGGCACCAATGACATTTACAGTATCTTGGCTAAGGTTCCTTTATGTGTATATAGTAGAGAAGAAGCTGCCCTTAGATCCACCGGAAAACCTACCTGTGTCACTCCCCGGTGTCAGGGTCCCCAGGGTTTCAGGTGGGGATGACTCTCCTGGTTCCCTCCAAGCTACATCTAATGTTAAAAGCCTTGTGGCCTGGTCAGGAGGTGCCTGTTGGTTCCTGGCCGGTCACACTTCCAATGATCCCCCTGTTTCTCTCTTGCCCCCTGATTTCTACCCAGAGGCCGATTGTCAGAGCCCCCCCTCCCTGGGTGTCTCCATCTCTTGTTCTGTAACTCCCCCTTGGCCTTCGGGCTCAAAAAAGCTTTTAGGAGTTTCCTATTCCTGCTTTCCTTGATATTCTTGACATTATTCTATACTTCCTGAGCTCTTTACTATAATCTGTTCAGGTACCTAGAATCTACCCCTTGCAGTCTCTGAAGTTTCTTTCTAATATCTGGAGCCGGTTGTCCCAAAAATACTGTTGCTGACTGTAATTCATCTCCCTCCCCTTCAGGGTGCAGGTCCCTGTACTTTCTGGCCACGCCATAGTGAGTCACTGGTGAAAATCAGAAGGGCATTCATCTTTTCCTTGAACCTCTTGATATAACTTTGACATATCCATAGCTTTCGGAATAGCATGTTTTAGCCCAAACATAATTAATCTTTGATATCCAGTTATAACTGTCTTTGAGCCATGTTCTTTGGATCCCACCAGGGATGTGCAGGAGGGAAATATTGATCCAGGGTTCCTTGCTGAACATTCTGAGCATGTCCTCTCTCAGCCTCTTCCCCCACTTTTGCCATTATCACAATTCCTCCACCTGCAGTTAAAGGTGGGTCTGAAACTGCCTTACTGAAATCCCAGGGGTCTTTGCCTTGAACTCACTGGATTAGGGCACTGGAGGATCTCCCTGAAAAGTCTTTGGAGTGCCCTGGAGTCCTCTTGATCCTCTGAATCCATGGAGAAAAGAAGGAGCATGGTTCCATCTGGGTCACTAAAAACGGTCTCCAAAACGCGGATAAATGAAATCCTCAAACAGGATCATTTTAGTATTAGCGAGTTAGGCATTACTTTGTGCTGGTCAGGGCGTGTGGAGCGGATAGTTTCAGCCACACACACACACAAAACTTTTCACTTAGTTATCTGTTTCTAGCAAACAAAGAAATCAATGGTCATCCATTCTCAATCACATAATTCTCTTCATTAGTTAGTATTCTAACCTCTATTGGTTAGAGCCTTCTTGCTTCTCATCCTAATTAGCACACATTTCTCTGACTCTTTATTATCTTTTTCCAAGGCAGTGAGTTATCCAGCATAAACAAAATTGCCTTTATTAATCTCTTTATTGTCTAATGGTCTCTGCAGCAACACCTTGGAGGGCTATAAACCCTGCATTTCACATGCTCACTTTTCAGCTTTGTTCACTGAAGCTCTTAAGTGTTAGTTTAGCAAAACTAAAAGGTTCCCTGATTTTCACAATCAAACTCTAATAATAACACCCTCTGGAAAGAAGTTTAGCTACCAGTTCACTAAGAGTTGAACTTACACTGCTAAAGATTAAATTTAAAAACTAATAAAAGTTATAAAATTGCAAGCTCGATAACCTGCTGTAGAGCTTTGAAGCAGGAAGGACTAGGGGTTAACAAAGCATGTTTTGGAAAAGGGGCAGATGGGGGTGGATGGCAGGTGTTGGAAGGAAGAACTTGGTTTGTCTTTCCCCACAGTCTTGGGGGCAATGGCAGCAGAAATTATTTCATTGTCTTCTTTATGGACTGTCAAGCTGACACAAAACCTGACTTGGAGGGAATTGTACAAAGGCTTCACCCAGGGAGACTCTTTGCCCTGAACTCCAGAGGAGAAAGGAGTCTATGCCCCAACAACCCTATAGCTCAGCGAGGGGCTCACGGGGTTCCTCCTGCACCTCCGGCATGAGGAACAGCACCCCACTGCTTCCCCTGCAAAGGCTGATCCCAGGGGATGCTCCCAGCCAGGCCCTGGGTTTACTGTGCCAAACCAGCGAGTGGCCACATCTGAAACCCAGGTTGAAGCAGCAGGTTGGTGATTCTCTCACAGGGACTGAGCTCTGTGGGGCTGCTGGCCCTTACCCACGGCCTCTGCCCAGAAGCTGCTTGGGGGATCCCTCTCTTGGTGAGGAAACAAACATAAATGGACCCTTTGGGCTTCATCTGGGCCTTTGTGGTTGTTGCGGTGCCCAGCCCGTGGTCACTCACACTGACACTTCACTGCACAGCAAAGCCAGGCTTAGTGCCTGCTCCACGGTGCAGGAAGGAACTAAGAGCATGAGATGCCACAGACGGGACACTGACACAGCAGATGAACAACTGGCTGAGCTGTAACTCAAGTCTTAAATGGATTAAAAGAAAAATAGTGAGGCCTCTCCTGTCCTGCGAGACTTTCAAGCGCTCTTCAGTCACTAAATGGCTCCAAATGGGCTGGAGAGGGACTTGGCATAAGGGCCATGAACGACAGAACAAGGGGGATGGCTTCACACTGTGAGACAGCAGGGTTATTGGGAAGAAAATCTTCCTGCAAGGGTCACGATGCCTTGTCACAGGCTGCCCAAAGAAATTGCGTCAGCCCCATTCCTGAAAGTGTCCTGGGTCGTTGTGGATGGGACTTGCAGTAACCTGGTCTAGTGGAAGGTGTTCCTGCCCATGGCAGGGTATGGGAAAGAGAGGATCTTTGAGGTCCCTCCCAGCCCAAGCCATTCCGTGACTCTATGACTTCATGTGTCTGTTACCCAGGGGTGAGGTGTGCTGCCTGGCAACGGGAATTGTGATGAAAAGGGGTTTGAGCAGAGCAGGCTCCAGTCCTCTGAAGGACACGGAAGGAGGAAGGAGCCTGTTGGCTACTCACGTTTTTATTATTGCTTTTGCTGACCCCTGACAGACCCAGCTGGGCAGGAAGGCTTGTGACTGAGCAGGGACTGACTGTGTGCAGACATGGCAGCATCCCTGGACACACTCAGCCTCTCCCAAATGCTGGATCTCGCCATCGGGACGCCCCAGAAGGGGATCATGCACTTTGCAGCCATGAGAAAACTGCTGCAGGCCGTGCTGGAGCACCTGGACGTGCAGTACCTGACCAGCCAGGAGCCGTGGCCGGGCCAGCTCAGTGGCCCCTCACTTGCTGATGTGGCCACTGACATGGAAAAGATGAAGAAAGACATGGAAGACTACAAGAAACACATGTCCGAGGTAGAGGCTCTTCCCAGCCCCCGGGGCACTCCCCCAGCAGACAGCCCCTCCCCACCTCCTCAGACAGCACTGCTTGGCACTGCCCTCACTGCCCCGGCACAGCCCCTGGCAGGGGCTCTTTGCCACCTGGATGGGCCTCAGTGCTCTGGCACCGAGCCGGGCTGGGGCAGGTGGCACTGGGACTCTCCCTGCCCACCTGGATTGCCACGGGCTGCCCGTGGCAGGGTGGGGCTCTTTGGGGTGTTGCTGCCCTGGCCATCACCTCTGACATCCCTGTTGGTTGGACTGTTTCACAGGTTCTTCGTGAGGAGTTTGGTGGGATAAAGGCAGAACTTTCCCACCTCTCCGAGGACATGAAGAAGTTCCAGGAGAGACAGGTCTGTGCAGACCACTGTGGTAGTGAAGGTTGTTTTCCTCACAGACACTCCACAACTTGCATCTCTCACCATTTTCTCCTACAGTCCTCCATGGCTGCGGACATGAAAAAGATCCAGAAGATGCAGGACAAGGTGAAGTGCTGCTGGGAGCAAGTTTTGGGTCTGAGAGAGCAGCCTGGACCCTCGGCCCTGCTGGCTGGAGGCTCAGTACCCATGGCCCTGCCAGATGCATGGACCGTGCTGCCTGCAGAGCCCTGCCAGCCTGGCTGAGCCCGGCCCTGCGCTGTCCCCAGGGCTCCACAAAGCACAGCAGGGCTCAGGGCCTTGCAGGTCCCCACTGACCCTCCCACAGGCTCACTGCCACCACTCCTCTCTCCTAGAACATGACTCTCATCCGGGATCTCCATGAGGAAATGGACAGGATAAAGACAACACAGAACCGCATGGAAGGAGACGTAAAGAAGGTTAAGGAGTCGCTTCCCATAGTAAGCTGTTGGATCGTGTAATCTTTAGGCTCTAATGGGGGACATCAATGTGATTCCAAGAGCAGGGTTTGGGATCAGGGTCTCAGGACCAGGTGGAGCAGCCTGGGTCTGCCCATGTAGCTGAAGGGCCCCCACGCTGGGACCACAGGATGTCCGTGCCCTGACTCTACCATCACTGGCTTTCCAGATGAAGAAGATGGGAGGGGAATTTAAAAAGCTGAAGGAGGATGCAGCCAAATGGAAAGAAGAAATTAGCAACGAGATTTCTCAGCAAATTGAGTAAGAGGAGTGGGTTTCATACCCTGTGGGGCTGCAAGGGAGCCCAGGGGGTCTGGCAGCATCCTGGTCTGCAGGCACAGCACAGTGCCCTGCAGCCCTGCAGGGGAAACCCTGACCTTGTCCCCATCCTGCTGGCCAGGGCTTTGCGTCAGGACACAAAACATGAGCTGCAGAAGATGGGAGAGCAGCAGGAGATGAGGTATTCCACCCTGGAGCAGCTGGTGACTGAGACAGCCAACCAAGTGAACGAGCAGGTGAGGTCCTGGGGGAGCACTCCCACCACCCCTGGCTTGGTGCCCGAGTCCTGCAGGGGTTCCTGGCCATATTCTCTGACTGGCTGGGGCCACCTTGCACTGTTGATTCCATTCATCCCACCTCTGAGCCAATTTCTTCTGCCTGTCCCCCAGTTTGGCAATACAGGAGAGGCAACTCTGAGCCTACTGGAGGAGCTGGAAGAGGGGAATGGAGACTGCTCCAGTTGCACCCTCAAAATCAGGGCCTATTTGGGGAAGCTCCTCCAGCGCTACGAGAAACTCCAGGAAAAGGTGGAAATCCTGGAGTCCCGGCAGATGCCCAGGGAAAAGCTCAAGAAAATGATGAAGAATTGGGGACAGGTAGGCTGTGGGCAGCATGGGGGACTGAGGACATCCCCCAGCTGGATGTGCTGTAGTCTGGGGGAGGCCAAACTGCCCAAATTGGCCTGGACCGGTCAGCAACATGGACGCAGATTAAAGCCTTGATGTAAATGTCCTGTTGATTCTGAGAGCTCATGGCCACAGGCTGAGAAATGCTGGTCTGCCCCTGTGGAGCAGCCAGACACCCTTTTGTTCAGCGCCATGTTTTTCCTTCCCTGAAGCTGGAGAATGACCATGAGCGGCTGCACTACATGGAGGAAACACTTGTACAGATGAAAGAAGACTGTGAGAAGCTCAGCTTTGTTTCTGGGAGCCTGCAGAAAGACGCTGAACAAAAGCAGAAAGCAATCGAGGTGTGTGGCTGAAACTCCTGTGGTGCCAGAGCATGCCCCAAGCCCTCGTGATTCCAGGCAGGGAACACAAGAATGTCTCTGGCTGAGACTTTCAGCACTGTGCTGGTTGCAAGTGCCTCTCCTCAAGGTTTTTGGGCAAGGGGAGTGGGTTGTGTTCTCCTGGCCAGGAGGCAGCTCCAGCCTTGCTGTGGTGTCATGGGTTCCTTTTTGTACTGAAAGATGCTGTTCCAGTCTCTGGAGAAGATTCAGAAGGAGAAGGCAAATGAGCAGGACGTGATGGCAGCAATGGACATGGTACAGTCTCAATGGGCCTCTCTGCCAGCCCAAGGGTTTCCAGGCAGGGTGCCAAATGCCCCTTGTCCCTTGGGGGCTGGGTGGCAGAACTGGCCTGGGGAGGGAGAATTTCCCAAGCATGTTGGGGTTCCCTCACCCTCCCGATGGTGGGACCAAACCCACCAGGGTGATGGGGCACATGGGGCCACAGCACCCTGAAAGGGGCACGATGGCCTGGAGGAAGCACTTCTCCCTCTGCCCCTCACACGCGCTGGCCCTGCCTGTCGTTCCTCATCCCTTTCCCCACCGCTCTCCTGCCGTTCCCCTCTGCTAGAAGGCGGACAAAGCTGCCCTGGGCAGCAAAGTCAACTGCAGCCAATTTGAAGCTCATATGGAGCGTCTGGATAAGAGGATGCAGGAATTGCAGAGCCAGATTTCGGGCCAGGAGGAGCACTGGAACAATATGCAGCAGCAGCTCAGCTGTGTGGTGGAAGAAAAGGTGAGGAGTACCTTGTCCCCAAAATGACAAACTGGCACCTTTGGGACTGGACAGCCTGAGGCAGCATCCCTCTGAGGATCCCCCTCCAGGCTTTTCCCTGGAGGGCTCCATGTCACATCCCGGGGCAGCTGGCTGAGGCTGTGCACCTGTTCACAGCTGGATCGCCTGGAGCTGAAGGCTTTCGGCTCCCAGATGGAGGAGACGTGGAACAGGAACATGGAGGAACTTGAGAACAGGCTGTTGCGTGACAGTGCTGCTGGGATTAAGAAGTGAGTGTGATGGAGATTCTGAAGGCTTTGGGGACAGCAATGGTCCCATTCCCTCCAGCTGTCCCACACGCTCCCCGTGTGTTCCCCTGCCTTGGGACCAATTCAGCTGCTCAATGAACCATGGGGATGCTGATGAAGCAGCTGCACCTTCTCCTTCCACCAGCAGCAGGTTCCACACAGGAAAGGAGGCACAAGGACAGGGCACCTGCATGACAGAGCCCTCCCAAAGCAAAATGGGGCTGTGGGTGCAAAGGCTCCCAGAAGCCAGGGTGGGAGATGGGAACTGCTCCTCCCAGGCAGGGCTGTGGGACGCAGGTCCCAGAGCTGGGTCATGCCCTGCCCTCCTGGCCGTGCACACAGGGGACTTTGGTGCCAGAGAGGGGCTGAAAGCGCTGCAGGGGCTGCTTGGGACGGTGACATGGGTGCCTGTGCCCTTCAGCTGGCATCATCCAGCACGCTGGGGATGGGGAGAAACAGGCTCAAGAGCCCACGGTTCAGCCTGCAAACGCCGTGACCCTGTGCAGTGACCTGCCCGGCACCCGGCTGCTGCCAGCCGCTGCTGCCTGTGTGCGGGCAGGGCTGTGGCCCCAGGAGCTCCCCCAGCCCTCTTCTCTCACCCTCCTTAGGCAGCTGCCAGTCCCTTTCTCGTGCCTGTCCTGTGACCGCATGCTCACCGTGCAGGTCCCTGGCCAGTGAGTAGCACCAGTGCATCGGGGGCAGCGGGGCTGGCATGGGGGGAGATGGGTGCCAGCAGTGACCGCTGTGCTGGGCACAGGGTGACAGGGTCTGCTTGGGAGGCCCTGATGTGGGGAGCCCCTCTGCAGCCCTGCCGGCAGCAGGGGTGTGGGCACTCATCCCAAGGGCTACAGGCAGCGGGGTACCATGGGGTACAATCCTCTGGCTTTGGGGGTGCTGCCTCCAACAGGAACAGGTTGTTTGTCCCCTGTCACACCCCTGTGACTCCTGCCCTCCCCAGGTGCCCCGAGACACTCCCGTATTTGCAGCCGCTGCCCCCCAGCAAGGAGCCACCGCCCAGCCAAAGGTAAGGGCCCTGAGGACACATGCCCAGCTCCCGGGGTGCAGGCACGCCCTGACACAGCAAGGAGGGCTTTTCCCGGTGTGGCACAGGCTTTTGCTTCCTGCTTGGGGCTCCTGCAGCAGGTGGACAGGAGCTGGGAGGGACATGCCCCTGCAGGCAGCACTGCCAGTCCCCTCCCTGGCACAGCAGGGTGAAGCCCAGGATGCCACAGGGCTGGGCTCTGAGTGTCCTCTGCCCCATCCCACAGGAGGCCGGTGGCCCATGGCAGTGTCCCCCGTGTGCCACCGAGCTCAGGGGACCATCAGAGCAGCAGTTCCATGGTGCAGAACATCAGGGCTTCTGTCCAGAGAAGCGGTCAGCAACAGGCCTTGACAGTCCAGAAAAAGGTAGGGATTATGAAGGTGGGGACACAGAATGATGACTGAGGCTTGATGGCATTGCTGACTATCCAGAGGGAATCTGTGCCTTCAGTCCCCAGGGAGACCTGGGTTGGGAGGATTATTAGGGGATGCTGGATTGGTTGGGCCCCACATTTCAGCTTGTTGCCCTCTCCTCCTCAGCCCAGTGTGACCCAGCTGCTGGACAGTGATGGACACATCTTGAGGGGCCGTAAAGTCCAGCATTCTACGGCGATCAGGACACAGGATACATCAGGTATGGCCCTGTTAGGGCATGGGGGTCAACGAGGACAGGGGGCTGATTATCTGTGGGGTACCGGCTGGGGGATGAGCTCCGTGTGCAGAGCTGGGCAGGTTGGGATGGGACTTGGGGCTCTGACCTGCTTTGGAAGGGGCAGAAGCAGAATGGAGGAGAAGGACTGGCTCATGGGGCAGCTGAGCTTGGCTCTCTGAGGGTCTCTCACTAGGCAGGTGACACTTGTGCTGGCCACCCTGGGCCGGCAGAGTCTCTCCAGCCAGGGGCAGTCCCTGGCAATGAGGGACTCACCCTTGGCCTTCAACCCCCAGGCCCTGCCGCCTCACGAGGGCCCCGGCCAAGCACAGCCTCCCGACACATCTCGAGTGCACCAGGGCTCGTCCAGCCTCTCCAGCCCCTCCGGACATCCACAGCCCCCAGCCAGCTGGAAAGGACTCCGCGCCCAGTGCTCGATCTGGGACATCTCCTCAGAAGCGAGAAACGCCTGTGACGCTGCTGTTGAGAAGCATGATGTTTGAGTTGTATTAAGTTGTATTATTTAGTTGTATTTAGTTGTATTATAAGTTAATAAAACGCGTTAAACTGTAGGCAGAGCCTTGTCTCAGCAGCCTGTCTCTTCCCCGGGCTCCCTGACGCTCCTTAAGCCCGGCTGGCACTGCCGGCGCTGAAAGGCTCACATGGACAGCAGCAAAAGGTGTGCTCAACTGTGGGGCTGTCCAGAGGGGAATCTGCCAGCAGGGAATGACCAGCAGGGCAACCTCCACTCAGCTGAGCTTCCTGAGCCAAGCAGAAAGAAGCTCTGCTGAGCCCAGGCAAACCAAGCCCAGGGAAGTGCAGCTGAGTGGTAGGAAAGGAGTAGCAGCTACCTCCAGGATCAACCTACAGTGCACTGAAGTGGTGGAAACACCAAGACAGGCACCTGTGCAGAGCTGAGCCCCAGCTGCCAGCCCCCTACTCTGATGGCCCAGCTTCCAAGGCCTTTGTTTGTCCTTCTGTTTTTTTGGGGTTTGGGCCAGGGGTGTGGGAAACATTAGCCATGGGAGCTCCCCCACCTTTGTTTCCCAGCAATCATGTGGCACAGCAGGCAGAAATGGTCCCCACATTGCTTTTGTCAGTGGAAACTATATAGGTGTGATCTATAGGATGGTTTTGTCATCTTGTATTTGTTGGCAGTGGTTTTGTGGGTAAAACATCTTCCCTTTCTGTATACTTTTGCTAATATTGCTATTGTGTTGTAAATGCATGTCTTACTCCATTACCATGGGGTTTTAGTAAATTGTTCTCTCAGCCCACAGCGCCTCCTTTATTTTCTCTCCCTTGCTGGAAGTTAATTTCCTGCTGGTGGTAAAACTAGCACACAAGGGAACTGTTGAACTCTGAGATACAAGAGAACCCCAAAAACCTATTCAAATGCAAATTGTTTTTAAAGCTCTGATTCCGGGCAGTCTGGGACTGGTTTAGCTCAGCTTTGATGTTACAAGTGTGGAGGTTGGCCTGCACTGTGCACTGCAGCACTGCCTGGAAACCCCAGAGCCAGAGCAGGGTCTGGGGTCAGGGCAGGCATGTGCAGCAGCAGCAGCAGCAGCTCTGTGGGATGCAGCACACACTGCCAAGCTCTGCTGCCAGTTCTCTGTATCACCAGGAACAGCTCTGCACTGGCCAGGCACAGAGAATAATGAGAGACCCTTTTAGGCAAAGGTTTTTAAGGTACTTGTAGACGCCACCTTCCATCATCAGAGCAAAGAGAACCAGCTGCAGATAGGTAACAATGAGAAATTATTTACTGTTCCCATTTCATATTTGGCCTAATTTAACAGCAAATATAAAAAACACAGCAGGATCATGCACTCAAGCACCACCCCTTCCATGGGCAACTTCTTCATTTCATAACTGACTTTTGTCCCATGACCTCATTTAAACACATAAAGCAGCCAGGAAGAGAGCTACAGTCTCAGTGCAGTCTTCCAGCCTTTCACTGATGCTATCAAACAATCTGCTAGAAGAGGATAGAACCTGCAGAAAAATAAATTACATTCCAAAAGGAGAAAAATAAATACAACACTGTCTGAATTCTTGCAGGACCAGCATAATTTTGCTTCAGTCAGAGCTTAAAGGCCTCACCTCAAAAGCTACTTTCATCTTTCAGAAACTGCATTTTAAAAAACCCAACATAGCACCATTGCAGCCCTTCATTCCCAACCCCTCCCAGAGATTTAAACCCTCATGGTACTCACCAGCAGCTCTCTGTCAGTCTTTCCACTAGGAAGATAATCCCAGCAACAGCCAAGCTGGATAAAGCTGCTCCTGGACATAAACTGCAAACTGCTACTGGAGTAAAAGGACACTGAGGGGGTCTCTGCCTGTCACTACATAAATTCCTCCCACTTTTGACTCCTGTTGACATCTCCTCACATGAAGACCCCATCCCTGACCCAACCTGCATTACTGATGGTCACACAGGTGGCATCCACAAACTAAAGCTCAAAAACTTCAATTTCTGATCTACCTTCAAGTCAGATATATACAATAGCAGAATTTCACTTAAGCTTTTCTTCTAGCTGCAGCTATCTGAGGAGCAAAGTACAGCATTAATCTGTCGAGTCCAGACCTGCTTTCAAACACATTTTCCTTCACACTTCAGTCCATACAGCCATGGCTAATAACACTCATACATCAGCAATTTCCACTCCTCTGGGGGCAGGGAGGGAGACCACAAATTATTTGAGAGATATCCACAAAGAGTGTCTGAGAAAACCAGGTTTCTACACACCTTACAGCAAACCACTTAGGGGCCCATAAAAATTTCACACCAAGTCCCTTGTAATTGGGAGGGGAGGCTCCAAGAACCACTACTGTCCACTGCGATATTCCAATGATAGAGAAATCTCTGATTTAAGACCTCAAAACCTCACATTATTTTACCAGCTTTGCCCCTTCAGCATGGCAATAGACAGGGCTTGTCACTGTTATGGGCCTCAGTCTCTCTACTAAATTAAGGGGGGGAAAATAGCATCTTTTTTTAAAAGATCTGTTATAAGATTAAGTAAATGTTATTTAAAAGGTATGTGTTGCTACTGTTCTGCCTTTAAAGTTCACCTCTATAAATCTCCTCAGTACAACAGATAGTTGCCTTGAATTCCTCAGTCTCCTGTAATCAAACCCTGGAATTCAGCTCTGGAAGTCACATTGCCAACATATAAATAATTGTTGTGAGGTTGGTTTAGTGTTTACACATTGGGGGCAGAACACTACAATTTAGTGTAAATATTAATGTAGTTGGTGACAGTTACATGTTCTATGTTTGCAAGCAATTGACACAAAATCAGAGAAAACAGGATCACATAAAAACAGAGCAGGAACAGAATGCAGAAAGCATTGGTCAATGGAGCAGGGAAACCATGCCAGCATTATGACACCATTAAGGAAAAGCTTCTCAAGCAGATTTGTCCTGTCAACACAGGGGCAGAAAGAGATGACTGCATCTAATCTCCATGTCAGCAGAAATACTTCAGTTGCTCCCAGCTGTTGGGCAGAATTTAGCAATTATATGAACCTTACATCCTTCAAGGATGCCTTGCTAGTCCAGACCTTGAAGGATGTTGCTTCTTCAAGTAAATTTGCTAATTTATTATTAAGCACCTGTAAGATCTTACTGAAGAACCAACAAGCCATTGTGCTAGCTTGTGTCCAAACACAGATTTTAACATTACTCCTCTTGCAGCAAGCATACAATCACTAGTTTAATAATTATATGTATATTTATCATACACAATTCTTACACGTTACATGACCTGACTTTTACACAACTTTGCTTTAAAAGTTTTGTCTGTATTTCTACTGCTTCCTGGAAGAATCCCACAGAAGAGCTTTTATATATGCTTATCACTTTTTAAAATGATGGCTTCATTAGAAGAAGTCTCAATTCTGGTCTGTAAAACATGACCCAAAATCAGTTAAAAATCAGTGGGAGCTTCCTATTGGGTAGTCTGAGCCTTGAAAAGCCTTTACAAGTTACCTAACCTTCATTATGCTGCCCACTAATTTGTACAACAAATGAATCCTCCTGGCACTTTCTGTCTCTTGTGTTTCTTCAATTTCTACCTTCCTGGAAGCTTCTTTTGCTTTTAAATATAAAGGTAAAAATCTGGTCTGACCTCATTCTCTCCAGAACTCAAGGAAACTGCATAGGCTACCAGCATCAATCATGACTTTGTCCTTCCCCTACCCACTGCCTTAGCTGCTGCTTCCCACAGTGCAAGCAGCTCATTCCCAGTCTTGCTCCTGGTTTCAGTGCAGAAAGCTCTAACTGAGCCTCTCAGAGTAAACACGACACAAGTCACAAGTTGCCTCAGCTATGAAGAGCACAACTCACAGATGTCACATACTGGGCAGAGCCCATCTACCCAAACTTCTGGGGTGTACCTGTTCACACAGGCAAACCCAGCAGGATTCCTGCAGACAGAAATATGAATCCTGAGCAAAGCTTTTAAGCTGAGTGACACTGCAACTCTCATCCTCAACATTTAGGTTACCTTTGGCATGCTGATCAAGATCAGCAGTGGTATAGTGCCCTAGCTTTCCAAGAAACACAATGCAGCTCTGCCACACCTCCCACAGCTGTCAACAGGGCCACTGAGGTGCTTAGCTGTTCTAACTACTCTCTTCAGGGAAACAAAATAGGAAAAAATTACTACTTGAAAAACAGCAAGCCTGTTATAATGCCTTCAGGGAATGTTTGCTTAAATCTCACCTTTGTTCTTATCCTGCAGCAGAAACGGTACTTAAAGTTTCAAACACTTCATTCAGTATAGAAACTTGAAGCCAACCTCTTTCAAATGCATATTTGTCTGAAGGGCTTCACCTGGCCATAGCATTGTGAAACCCATTCTAGCTTTGGGCCAAAGGGGTCAGTGCCCAGGCAGCTTGCTGTTCATTCCAAAGAGTTTCCCCAAACAGAGATGTTGCTACATACAGCTATACACACCTGTAGGTTATCAGGGTCAGCCCATATGAGTATAAGGCACTGATGTCACACCATTCTGACCATGGTGCTCCCTCTGCCTGAACCTGACCCTCAGGAAGCGATACTGATTAACATCAGGGCTTGACCTGCAAGTCTATTGCATATCTATTGTATATCTCTGATGCTGCCTAGGTAATCTTCATGTGGATCAGCTATCATTGTTTTAATTGTTAGACTGAAACACCAATCCCTAAAGCCAGACAACTGAATGTTATAATTTTTTTTTGCTGTCCCAGTATAAAATGTTTGTTAGTCACTTTAGCATAATAAACCTTTAAAAATATTTCTAAAACTCTCCTCCATGTCATTTCCAGGGAACATTAATTTACTTCACTCCTTTGATACTTCTTTTTTTTTTTCTTTATCAATTAGCAAAGCATTCTTAGGTCCTTGTCTCCACAGACACAGAGTGGCAGTCAAGAAGCTTTAAAGTTGCACTCCTTTATTAAAAGAATTTTGCATTTCAT